GCCACGCCCAATCCAGTAATATATATCAATGTTAACGTCTCCATTATAACATTGCGTGTTAAATCTAACCGTGCACGACACTGAAGAGGTGTTTACTACGTTCAGCGATGGTGAAAACGATGTTTTTTTAACATCAGTCAATATAATCAGCTGAAACAAGCTGCTCCAACAGTAACATTAGCATGCTAACGCACATAGCGGTGCTGCGAGGAAAAGTGTCCCCTGGGAAACGGTTCACTGGTGACCGTGATGAAACGTTCTGAACGTGTTCAGGATGTTTACACCAGTATGTCCGGTATTCATAAAATTCATATAAAAATAAAACCCAGTTCTGGGTACGACACGGTGAACCGCCCAGAACCAAGTCCAAACTGAAGGTGTCCTTGTTGTGGCTGAGGGTCGTTTTCTGTCCTGGTGTGCAGACAGAACCTCACATGGAAACTCTGCTATAGATAGACAGGAAGCTAGGAAGAATCTGGAGCTGGGCTCTAGGTTTGCAGCCAGCATGGTTCTGTGGAAACGGGTCGGACTTTCAGAGCAGGACCTTGTGGACAGGGTGGGGTTGACCTGGAAGTACCGTTAAACCCTTTCAGGTGGGTCCTGAGGGACACCTGAAGATGTTGGACTGTGGAGACGTGTTCCTGCAGGCCGGTGTCTCTGTCCCGTCCCCTCAGGTTCTGGACCTCCTCTGGGTCTGTGCAGGACCAGGTGCTCCTCTGTGCTGGGGCAGGTGGAGGGACTGGTTCTGGTTCTGAGACGTGTCCTGCAGCAGCTGGTACTGTAAGGATCTGGGTCATGTGACCCGCTCTGGTTCAGTTCAGAGGTTCTGTTCAGCTGACCTTTGAGTTCTGATGGGAAAAGTTGACCTGGAGGTGGACCCTGTGGTTCTGGTTCTGGTTCTGGTTCTGGTCAGATCAGACATGGTTGATCTTTATCTCCTCATGAAGCCTGAAGCTCAGTTGGATCTGCAGCACCGCCACGCTTCATGATGTTTACTCCCCGGATCAGAACCACAGAGTTCTGCTGTGAACCACACAACAAAGACTTTGTGTTGCTGTTTTGTTGTGCAGACACGTTTGGTGTCGATCTGCCTGCTGGACTGTTTGTGACAACGTTTGGTACGGTAACAAGTGTGTTTGTTTCCTCGTTCACAGACGATGTAAACAAGTTGTTTACAGAACCGACGTAAACAAGTTGTTTACAGAACCGACGTAAACAAGTTGTTTACAGAACCGACGTAGACAAGTTGTTTACAGAACCGATTCAGACAAACAGACTTTTTAATTCTGTTTGTTCTAAAACCATTTAATATACACAAAGATTTTCTCTTCTTCAGCTGCTTTTGTCGTCTTCGGCTGCTTTTAGCTACTGTTTGGATGCTTTTAGCTACTGTTTGGATGCTTTTAGCTACTGTTTGGATGCTTTTAGCTACTGTTTGGATGCTTTTAGCTACTGTTCGGCCGCTTTTAGACACTGTTTGGCCGCTTTTAGACACTGTTTGGATGCTTTTAGCTACCGTTCGGATGCTTTTAGCTACTGTTCGGCCGCTTTTAGACACTGTTCGGATGCTTTTAGCTACCGTTTGGATGCTTTTAGCTACTGTTCGGCTGCTTTTAGACACTGTTCGGATGCTTTTAGCTACCGTTCGGATGCTTTTAGCTACCGTTCGGATGCTTTTAGCTACTGTTCGTACTGTTCGGCTGCTTTTAGCTACTGTTCGGCTGCTTTTAGCTACTGTTCGGCTGCTTTTAGACACTGTTCGGCTGCTTTTAGACACTGTTCGGATGCTTTTAGACACTGTTCGGCTGCTTTTAGACACTGTTCGGATGCTTTTAGCTACTGTTCGGATGCTTTTAGCTACTGTTCGGATGCTTTTAGCTACTGTTCGGATGCTTTTAGCTACTGTTCGGATGCTTTAGTTAGCCTTTTACTGAATTTAGAGCACAGTCTTTACTGGATTCACACATTTGTTTTTGCTCCATTGAGACGTGAGGAATGTTTGTTGTTGTTGTCGACTCAGTAATCCGGTACTTTGGACTCTGAAAACCAGTTTAGTTGTGTTTTGTATTGAGGTTTTGTGAAACCGGATCAGAACCACAGCCTGAGAACGTGTTTTGTTGGTGTCGGCTCGGTTCTGTAAGCAGGTTCTGTTGACTCGGTTCTGTAAGCAGGTTCTGTTGACTCGGTTCTGTACGCAGGTTCTGTTGACTCGGTTCTGTAAGCAGGTTCTGGTTCCTGCATGTTTCTATTTGTGCTCTGGGCCGAACAGAAACGGACCTCGGGTTTATTGTAACCGGACCGGACCGGTTTCTGGTCCGACACCTGAAACCCGTCCCAGTTCTCCTTCCTGGGAGTCCTGCAGCAGAAGTGAGTCCTGAGTCTGGACCTGAGGGGAACCTTCAGGTTCTGGTCCCAGGTGGTCAGGAGGATGGGTTCTGATAAACATTAACATGTTGGACCTGGTTCTGTTGATCTTTGACGGGTCGGTTCCAGGATTTGTTTTGCTGATGTGAAACAGCTGGTTGATCATTAAGTCAGTGACGCAGACAGGAAGTAAAGAGGCTGAAGCAACAAAAACATGTTTGTTTGTTGTTTGTTTGTTGTTTGTTTGTTTCTAACGGGACATGGTTCTGCAGAACCCATAAATCCTGAATAGTCTTTGGGTCCAGACTGGTTCTGTTCTGTGGGTCTGAGGAGTTTCAGTGTCAGGCTGTGATCCTGTCGGAGTCGTAAACTATTTATGTTTTTAGGGCCTTTAAAATTTAAACCGGGCCCTGGGGGCAGAACCAGAACCACCCAGAGTCAGGCTGATTCAATCAGAGTTACTCAGTCACTGTCTAATTCCTGGAACGGTAGTCAGGCGGGCGTGTCGCAGCTCGACTCTGAGCCACGAGTCACCATTTTACAGCTCGGGACCGCAGGAATGGGCCGGGCCGGGGGGGACCAGAACCTCTCTGAAGGTGGAGGGATCACCAGCTGTAGGGGGGTTCTGTAATCAGGTGGGAAATAACCGGGGGTGGGGTGTGTGTCTGTGTGTGTGTGTGTGTGTGGGGGGGGGCATCTTGTTGAAGAGTCACAGTAAAATGGCCGCCTTTGTTCCAGTCCTTTGCCTACACAAAGACCCCCCCCCCCCCACACACACACACACACACACACAGATACACACACACCGTCAGGTTGTTGGGCTCAGCTGGGAGGAAGTATCAGAAGCATGACGTCAGCACTTTTCAGTTGGACTGATTTGTTTCTTCTTCCAAACGACAGAATAAACTTAATAAAATAAGTTTGTTTTATTTGGATTTTATTTATCTGTTAATCTGAACATTGTTTTTATTTAATTTAATCCAGATGAAACCATCCCCAGTTTGGTTGTCCTGTTGACACCTCTGTGTTTTTCTCTTTAAACTTTTTAGAAAGATGAAAGCAGTTTAAGCCCCGCCTCCTCCTCCCTGTGATTGGTTTAACCTTAATGCTGATGAAGTGCGTGTGTGCGTCAATGATAATTAGGTGATTGTGTGTTTAATCCCTTCAGATTAGAGGTTAGAGAGTCCTCTGAGTTCAGATTTATCTGGTTTCTCTGGTCGGAGCATATCCATCGTAAAGTTACTCTGTCCAAACCTTTTTTCCAGCTCGTTGTTTTGTTTAAAAAATAAAATGTTTTACCGGAGTATCCAATCAGAGGCAGGTTCAGATATAAACACTGAACTAAACAAACGTCAGATAATTATTTAATCTCGTCTGACATAATCACGCGTTGCGTAGCCTCGTCTGACGTAATCACGCGTTGCGTAGCCTCGTCTGACGTAATCACGCGTTGCGTAGCCT